GAAAGCAAAAATTTCTGTGTAGAGACTTGACAGGAAGGTCTCAATTTATACATGTATAGGGGAGAGAGGAAGAGCCACCAGCCTTTATGGCTGGTCATTAAAACCCCATAAACTAGGATCCATAATCCCTTTCCAAAAAGATGAAAAGTTTGGATGCCCAAAGGATTTACACCCTTTAGCCAAGAAAAAGGATTTAAATACTCTTTAAAATCCTATTCATGAATCTAACATCATGAGGCAATTTCTTGGCAATTTCTTATTCAAATCTCAATGATTTTTGGCCCACTTGGACCCAACACAATAAATGGTTGGGATTCACTTTAATATTTAATTAAAGTCACCACACTTTAATATTAAATTAAAGTCACCAAAAAACCACTTTTTCCAACAATAGTATCTTGAAAAAAATATCTTCAAAAGCAATATTTTCTTTGATAAGCTAAAGTAAGCATGGCTGAACACGATAACTTCTTCAAATTCTGATTAAGGAAACAAATATATCAACATTCAAAAAACGAACAGAAAAGAATGTAGAAAGAAAATGCGTTGCTTTCGATCATGATTAAACACTCTAAACAACTCCGTGACAAGTAGGGGAAGAAGCATTTGTGGTTTTTCCTGATTTCAATTTAGTAAATGCCCATTATGTTTTGTTCTTCCATGGACTCATTTATTTCATGTTATGTACAAATTCCTTATATTCAAACTCCTAACTCAAACCCAGTTGGTTTTTACTATATTCACATTTCAACTACTAAAAACCCCAAATAAATACTGATATTTCAATGGGACACTAAATGCTTAAAACCCCAACTGTGACATTAACTCATTATCTACCAATATTATATCCTTTTCCATTGGAAACACATAATCAATACTCCATTTAAACTAACACAACTTATTTCCATTTAAAGCCTTAAAAATAAACCAACAAAAATTAGATAAAATGAAAATTTGGGACCTCCAGCTATAACTAGTCCTTATTATTTGAGTTTCTAGAGCATAAAATGCAAAACCCTTTCAAAGAATTGAACTTCTAAAAAAAAAAAAAAAAAACATATAAGAAAAAAAATTTGGGATTACAAAGGAAATGATTTCCACTCAACATGAACCCATAAATCAAAACAAATTAATGAGTACAAATAATGTAATATACTAAAAGACTAGACAAAGAAAAATTAAAACACATATTGAGAGAGAGAGAGAGAGAGAGAGAGAGAGAGAGAGATGAGAAGGAAGAAATGCTTGTTTAGAAATTTCATTATGCAGAGATGGTCTTGGTTTCATTGTTGAAGGTGGGTCTTGAGAAGCAGATACTTTTTTTTGAAGGTTGGTTTCATTGTTGAAGGTGGGTCTTAAAACACGTATATAACATGTTGCTTCTTTTTTTTTCAGATACTTTTTTTTTTTGGTTCATAACATTTGTTTGGTGTTTTAGTGGATGCTACAGTTAGGGCCCCAAAGTGAAATCATCTTCACCTGATGTTCTAGAATTATTATGAATCATTTGATCAACACACAAAATAGAGAGGAAAAATAAGCAGAGCATTTTTTTTCTTGAAAAATATAGAGTAAAAAAAAAATCATATTTGAAAAAAAAAATTACAGCAATTTTCAAAACTCAAATTTGAATATATCTCTTCAAAATCCATTACAAAACTCATATTTTAATAAGATTGAAAACCCTTTAGAAACCATGTGTCCAATACAAGGGAAAAAATATATATCTTCTCTTTCTAGCCCTAGAAAACACAGAAACACCAAATCAAGAAGCAAAAAAGGTCCAAATATAGAGAACCATTTCGTCAAAAAACACTACAAAGAAACCCAAAATAGAGAATAAGGGAAAGAAACAGTAAAAAGAGAGCAAAGAGAAAGCACGTACCAAATTGGCGAGCAAAAAAGATGCAGCGGCGACCGGCAAGGCTAATAGAGGCGACAACGATGGCGATCGGCAGCAAGGCTAATAGAGGTGACGGCGATGGTGATCGACGATCGGCGTGGTGGAGGAGCAAGAGTGAGACAAATGTTGGTTACCAATCTGTGAATACGATGAGATGTTTAGTGCTGTTAGGGTTTAATTTGAGGATTTTTTGTTTAGGGGATTGGGGATTGGAGATTTTAGATTGTGAGAAACAAAAGGGAGGAAAGAATTAGAAGGGGGGGGAATTCGTATAGAGCGGGAAAACGAAAACAAAAAGAAGAAAAGAAGAGGAGAGTTAGATATGTGGTGTGAACCACGTGGTTTGATTTGAACAAAATGTTTAAAAAATTTTAAAAATATAAATTTAAAAACATGTTTGTTCAGGCCTAAAATATTATTTATTTTTATTATTATTTATGATACACATTATAATTGAAAAAAAAATTTGATTGGAAAAAAATTAATTGAAAAAAAAATATTTGAAAAAAAATTAATTAAAAAAATTTTGTTAGTCAAATTTTTAAATTTCTATTTAAAAACCAACGTAAACTCATTTTTTGAGTTTACAATTTTTTCTCAAATTTATAAACTTAAACAACCGTTTATAAACCAAAAAAATAATCAAATAAGTTTTTATGGCAGTTTTGTAAGTTTTTTGTAAATATAAACTGAAAACGAAATGATTACCAAACAGGCCCTAAACAATGAATCCATGGCTCGTTTAGTAATTTTTTTATTTGCGACGGGGGTATTGCCGTCGCCGATAACTTGTATTCGCAATGGGGGAAGGTTGCCATAGCAAAAAAAAAAAACTCATTTTTTTGCCAAAAAACCTCTGTGCCCATTTTGCTGCGTAATGAAAGCTAGGAAGAGAGAGAAATAGAAAATGAGAGAGAAACAAGAGATGATCAACAAGAGAAAGAGAAAAAGATATGAACAAGAGAGATATAGAGAGAGACATAAAAAAAAGAGAGAAGAGATATGAACAAGAGAGACAAAGAGAGATGAAAGAGATAGAGAAGAGAGATAAGTGAGAGAGATAGAGAAGAGAGATGAGTGAAAGAGAGAGAGAAGAGAGATGAGCGAGAGACATAGAGAGAAAGAGAGAGAGAGAGAGAGAGAGAGAGAGAGACCCATTTCATTTTTGGACTTTTTCCTTTTTCAACAACAATGGGCTCAAAGAAAGAGATGAGTGTGATTGAGAGAAATGAACGATTGAGAGAGAAGAAAGAGAGAGAGCAAGCAAAAAGAGATGAACAAGAGATATAGAGAGAGGGGGATGGAGAGAGAAGAAAGATGAGTAAGAGAGATGAGAGAGCCAGAGAGAAGAGTGATGAGTGAGAGAGAGAGAGAGAGAGAAACAAGATGAGCGAGAGAGAGAGAGACAGCTAAAGAGATGAACAAGAGATATAGATAGAGAGAGAGAGAGAGAAGAAAGATAAGCAAGAAAGATAAAGAGAGGAGAGAGATGAGAGAGCCAGAGAGAAGAGAGAAGAGTGATGAGTGAGAGAGAGAGTTTTAAAAAGGAGAAATAAGTGGGAAAAAAAAAAAAAAAAACAACAACAACAACAAGATAAGCATGCCACACTAGTTTCACTAGGGGTACGCTAATTTGCCATAGTGACTCAAGATTCTTTTAGACTAAAAAAAAATATTAAATTGAGACCATAGGGGGGCCTTTGAAAATTAATTTTTTTGATATATTCTTAGTGGGCCTTAAATGATAATTTAATGATTCATTCAATGTAACATAGACATGTAAATGAACAAAGAACATAGAATTTTCAAGTTTATGGTTATTGAAAATTGGTGAAAGAATAATACCTAGTAGCTCAAAAATTATTGGCCCAAATCAGCTCGAAGAGAGAAAAGAGAAGAGAGACAAATAAGAGAGAAGAGAAGAGAAGAGAAGAGAGAGAGAAAAGAGAAGGGGAAGAGAGAAGAAGGAGAGAGAAAGAGGAGAAAGAGAAGAAGACGATGATGGCGGTGATCGCCGGTGGGTATCACCGATCGCCACTTTCTTTGTTTTCTCTATTTTTTTTTATTTTTTTTTCTAGTGGATCTAGATCTAAAGATGAAGGGGGGGAAATTTGTTGGCTGATGATGATGTGTTGATGATGATGATGCGTTGATGAAGATGTTGATGTTGATTTTTTTTTTTTTTTTCTGTGGATCTGGATCTGGAGATGAAGGGAATATAAAATAAAATTGTTTGCTGATGATGATGTGTTGATGAAGATCCAGCTTCTTCTTCTTCTTTTTCTCTTTCTTTTTCTTCTTCTGCTTCTTCAAAAAAAAAAAAAAAAAAAAGGAAAACCCAAAACGACGTCGTTTTGGGTTTTGAGCCAATTCGAGCCAACTATTTTCGAGCTACCAAACGGAACTGATTGATGAAAATGGATCATTTCACTAATTAAATTCTATTTTTCTTGTTTATATATGTCTATGTTACATTAATGAATTTTGAATAATTATAAAAAATAAAATAAAAAATCTCACTTAGGCTTGTTTTGGCAAGTCAGTAAAAAGTCACTTTCTTTTTAACTTTTAACCTATTTTGATTCATATGAACTTTTTATTTTTTGCACGTTTTTTATAATAAAAAAAAAAATTAACATTTAAGTAAGTTTCCAAAACAAGCCTTAAGCATATATATGGCCTCATCCATATACACCAACCCATGTGGGTGGGTTAAGCATCCACCGATAGGATGTTCAGGCCCAGAATTTTTGGGTGAATTTTACAGGCCCATGAAGATCCTGAAATGTTGCCCTATCTTGTTTTGTACCAAAGATAGCTTTTGAAAATCTTGAGATGCAATAATCTCAAAATATAATTCAATTGATATGAATATTTTGAGACCTTTAGAAGAAAAATTTGGAGATAGAGAATCTCATGCTCTTGTGTTGTCATTGTTAACCCCATCATCATTGCCAAATTTATTCCACATCTAAGAGCAATAATAATGTGAAGCAAACAGAATTTTGTCTCAAATTTTTTTTGTATTGTGTCTCAATTCACTTATAAATGATGATCGTCAGATAAACGTGAAAATCTCTACATTTGCGAATCTTCATGCATAATCTAACTACTGTGAACAAACTGGAACAAGGGAACAATTTTAGAATACTTCCTAAGCCAAGAGTTCCATACCATATTAATTTTTTTATTTTTTATTTTTATGTACACGAGTTCCATTTTGTTTGATCCTTTTGGTATTCACTTACCTGTTTTTGGGTAGAGTCCTTGTTCTCACTTTTAAATCCTAATAGTGCAATAAAAAATAATAATAGAGAGAATAAATAGAGAAAGTTGATTGACACTTATTTGTATAACAAGAAAAAGATGGTACGACTAAGAGGGAAATGACTTGAGAAAGGCTTTTATGCTTGATATTTTGCTGTTAAAAATGGCCTCTGATATTTTCTTGGAAAACAGTTTTCTCTGCTGATTCTGGAAAAACCCATCAGCTTTTAGGACATGCAATTAAATTTCATGTGGTCCCTACACCAAGAAAGTCTATGAATGTTGGTTCAACAACAGTCTCAAGATGGTTGGTTTCTCTTCTGTACTCTTCATCTGTAAGTGGTGATGATAAAGGTTCAGTGACTGAGCAGTGAGAAGAAGAAGAGTAGTGGTGGTAAAGTGACTGTTGCATCGCAGTCATCATCAATGGAGGTTGGTGGTGGGGATAGAAGTAAGCGACTTTTGCTTCTTTATCATCCACTGACCTTTCCCAAGCCCTATTCTGGTTGAAAATGTCCACCTTCTCATGGCTATTAGGACCTGTACAGTACAAATCCACAACCATTCAGAAAGAAAAAGTCAATGTTGATTAATGTGACGGACCAACAAACATTTTTGTGTAATATTCAGACTTATTTATCACTTATGTTATGTTTGGATCATAAATTTAAATAGAAAATATAAAATATAAAATGGAAATAGAGAAACAGAATTTAACTTATATTTTATATACTTTTATCTCACCTTTTATTTTTACCTTTGCAAATCTCTGTATAAATTTATAATTTAAACACAATTTTAGTGTTTGAACAAATTTGCACTCATTTTTAAATGACAATAATTATCCTGTCTTTCAAAAAAAAAAATAATAATATTCATGTTGACAGGGCCAAAAATGAAAGAAATGGTTGAGAAATGATAATACATCATTGGATGAGCACATGACAACATCCATATAATAATTTATGGTCAAAGAAAATTTTTTTGTTGAAATAGTTTTAAATCATTGCCAAACTAGTTTGAAAGAGAGTGTATGCTGCATTAATCCTTGTATAGAAGCAATAACTTGAAAAATTTTAAATACACAAAATCGGACACAATCTTCTGTAATTAGATTATTTGCATGTAAAATACCTTCAAAAACTTTGAAGCAATACATGAAAAGTTGAGAAAGAAAAAAGGGTTTGGATCAATCCACGATTGCAAAAGAATAATTGAACACAATAAACAGTGGAAACCAATTTATGGAAAGTAGCACAAAAACCCAAATGCACAAACTACAGGGCCAAACAGATCATAAGCAAGGTAAGGAAGGAGAGAATCAAAGAAGACTCACCAGAGTGGAAATCGGGTGTTTGCAGTGCACAAAACCCATTGCGAGGAAGAGAGACATTGCTGCTGCAAAGATTGACACGGTATGGTTGTGATGGTGGTTCTGTGACTCTGTACACAATGCTTGGATCTTCTCCCTCCAATCTTGTGTGAACAGATTGAGCTATCTTCCTCCTCCTATAAGCACTGGACTGTTCTCTATATTTTCTAGCCATTATTACATGCCAATGGTTCTTCACTGCATTGTCAGTTCTACCAGGCAAGAGCCTAGCAATCATTGCCCACTTGTTTCCATATAGTCTATGAGCAGACATTAGCCTCTCTTCTTCTTCTTCATTGAAAGCTTTCCTGTTGATTCTTGGGTCCAACTGGTTGAACCATCTCAACCTACAGCTCTTGCCTTCTCATTGATCCACATAAACAAAGAAAGAACCAAAATAAGTCAAAATTAGAAGAATTACTTGTTTGGTACAACTTGTTGTAAACTGAGAATTAATAATCAAAAGAGTAAAAGTTAAAAATACAAATCTTCTCTTACAATCTCCATTTGACAAGCCAAAAGTCTTGCCAAAGTCATTTTGCCAAAACCATAACCAAAATTTTGTTTTGCAATATTGTGTCAAATTTGAGGCATGATTTTGGCAAAATCAAATTTGCCCCGTAAGTAAAAACCATGTTATCATCACAAAAAAAATTTTAAGAGTAGATTCAATGGTAAGAATATTAGTTATGTCAAAATGGCATATGAACTATTGAAGCACCATAGCCAAAAAATAGCATTTTGGGATAGTAGTTGCCATTTTGTTGCAACTACAAGTGTGTTTAATTTGTGTTTTGAAATATATTTTTGAAAGAAAATTTTCAAAAACATGTTTAGTTACAAATTTTTTCAAAAAAAAAAATTCTAAAATTACTTCTCTCTATTACATATCAATCAATCATTTTTTCTCTCTCCTCTCTCCTTCTCGATCACTTTTTCTTTCATACATATCTACTCAACTATAACAAAATATCAAACATCTCAAACTCCCAAACTTCAAAACTATTTTCAAAATATATAACCAAACAAATCAAAAAAAATTCTAAACTCTCTCCATAAAAAAAATTTAAAAAATTTATCTCAAAACACAAACCAAACATACCGGAAAGATATTTTAAGTATTTACACTTAGTCTTATCATATAATGAAATTTCACTATAGGCATCATAGTGGACATTTCATCACATTATCTATTGGTTAGCTATATTTAGAAACTCGTGGAAGGTTAGACAGATCAATTTCAAAAGTAGTAAGTATTGTTAAAGCACACACTAATAAACTAATTAGACAAAACACATGTTGTATACTTTTATCATGCAAAATGTCCATTAGTGTTGGAGTTGCTAAGAAAGCTAGCTAAGTAGGCAATATGTTATTCTCTCACTTACTTACCTGACCTTCCTTCCAACTTCTCTGCAATAACATTCCAATTCTGAGGACCATAGACAGCTACAAGTTCCTTGAGCTTTGTATCCTCTGCAGGCCTCCAATGCCCTCTTCCACACAACTTTGACTGCCCACCATTTTCTCTTTCCTTCCCAACACTCTCTCCATTTATCCCATCTTTGATCATCTCTTCTTCATTCAAGCTCTCATTTAGATCAATAGTTTCATTGTTCTCTCCAAACCCATCACTACAGTCATCAGAACTGTTGTTGTGGGTTTGTTGAAAACCCCAACTTGCCCTTCCATATTCCATCTCTGTAGAGCTCTTACAAAAACTGCTTTCTTGTGAAGAAGATACAGATGTTGTTGCTGTAAAAACCATTTCCATAGAAGCACCAAAAGGATCAAGGAGAGAAAGATGATGATGATGACGAGAGTTGATGCATATAATAAAACATACTTCATTTCATTTTCTGTTGTGTTCTTCTGACACATGTTTCAGTTGTGGGAACTGTTATGAAGTCATCTTCGTGGACTGAATCCGATAAAGAGGAAAAGATGGAGGAAGGGACTAAAAATGAGAAGAAAGTTTGACAGATATTGAAGGGAAGAAGAAAGCAGTTTGCACTGTTGTGAAAAACTAGAAACAGGAGAAGTGTTTCTAACAGAAACCCCTCTCTCTCTCTCTCTACCGCTTAATTTGGAGTGTTTTGAGTAGACAGCCCCACTCTGCCTGTTGTAGTGTTTACCTATTTTGGGTAGATCAGACATCATAATATCCATTACAACAATGATTTAGACTACTAAAAAATACATCACTAATAGTACTAATGTATATGTATTGAGAATGGTAAAAAAAAAGAAAAAAAATAGAAACAAGGCATAAAAAGTAGGCGGGGCCACTGCCACATTATTAGTGCTCATTCTAGTGCTCCATGTCTAAGTGCTCCCAAACATTTTTCTATCCATTAATATTATGTTTGATTTATTGAAATTAAAGTTGAATGGAGTTTGGTGTTAGTTCTCCGAAAATCATATTGTGCTTGGTTTTGGATTTCAGAATTTACTTTTTAGATAATTTTATTTTTTTGTTTTTATTAAGTTTTTTTAATATTTTAAGTAATTTTTTAATTTTTAGACCCATCTAACATAAATACACTTAAAAAGTATAATTTTTGTGAAAAAAATCTTTAAAAAATTCACTAAATACTAAAAATATATAATAAAAAATTGTAAAAATAGTATATATATTTATTAATTTTTTATAAATATTTTAATTTTTAGATATATCTAAGTAAGGTGCATCTAAAAAAAATACTTAAAATTTTAAAAATATGCACTAAAAATAAAAAAATACAAAAAATAAAAAATTCAATTTAAAAAAAATTAAAATTAAACACATTGCTAAATCACAATTTATTATATGTCATTTCATATTTTTCAATCACTCAATATAAAATTGTGAACACTGCCATCTCAATCAATCACAATTCACCCTAAACATCACGTGACCATGTCCTAAGACCACCAAACAACTTCTCTCATTCTTAGGCCTTTTCTCAGAACCCTCTATTTTAGCCAAAAAGTCAAAAAATTACTAAATTAGCCAAAAAGCCAACAACTCATACCAAAAAGACAAAGGTTCTATTTTCTCTCTACTGCACACACATCTTTTCGTAAAAAGCCAAAAAGGCATTCCAAACATACTAGTTTTTTTTAACTCATATTTTAGTCAAATAGCCAAAAAGTTATTAAATTAGTCTGTTCCCAAACAAGGCCTTAGCTTTTGTTTGGAATGTTGGTTGATTTTTTGACTTTTTGATTATTTTAGTCTGGGGCTAAAAAGTCTCGTTTGGGATGAGCATTTTAGCCTTTTTAACTTTTGTGAGAGAAAAAATAAAATAATTATGGTTTAGATGTGACATTTTATTTTATTGACTTTTTAATCTATTTTGTCTTTTTGTGACAAAAATAGTAAAAAAAACTTATGCCAAACATATCCTTCGTTGAGGGATAGATGACTATCTTAGATTTTGTAATCCTCTAATCATAGTGAAAACTACAATATATCTAACCTTAGTTTTGGAGTGAATCACGCAAATCATTGTATTGTGTGTTTGCTTGATTTTTCGTTTTTTGTTTTTGTTTTACGTATAACCATTTCTAATTAGATATATCAATTCCTAACAAAACTATGCTACCTTTGGAGGACCCTCCTAGAACTAAAGGGTTCAAAAGTTAGAATGATTCTAAAGGGTTTTTAGGTATATGGATTGGTGATTTTATGCTGAAAGCAAGACAGTAGCTAGCACCACTCTCTCATCTCATGGTGGCCGGGTACTCAAATGTCCCCATCCCGTGTCCTAATTCGAATAGAAAAGAAAAGAAAAAGGGATGAAAAGAAAATCCTGTTTGATGCCACCTTATACCTGGGATATACATTTATATTTTGTCTCTTTAATAATTGCATTTTTCAGCTTGGATTGGTTACTTATATACCTAGACACACATACACACACACACACACACACACACAAACATATATATATATCAGACTAGATATAAAATTTACCACTTTGAAACTATGTTCGAATGACAAGAATCAAAAAGAAAAAGGAAAAATCTCATTTACCAATACTAAAATTACACTGTCAATGTTATTCAATCAGATCAATGAATGTGAAGTATGTACGGTATTGATTATTTTCAAGTTACATTTGGTAAATTTTGTTAGGAATTAGTAACGCCTAATTATTGGTGAAATTGAAAATATCATACAATATCATCTGGGCAATAATTGTAAATACAAAATTTACTTCAAAATTAGAGTTATGTCTACTATTGTTAGGGTTTCACTATGATCAAAGAATGTTATACAAGGATACAAAGAATTATGATAGAATTAGGATAACATGTCAAAAGTAAAAAATTATCAAAAATACCCTTATGTTACGATTCCACATCAATTAAGGCCTTGTTTGGGAAGATTAAATAAGTTCATACTTTTATCTTTTTATCTTTTTTAGGTTACATCAATTAATGTATCCTCTCTACTTTTTTTACATATTTTTTTATAAAAAGTCAAAAAGTACACTTATTTAGATCATCTCAAACAATCCCTAAGAGTAGGCTTGAACATGTGAATATTAGTCTTTTGAGTACCTTCACGCAGCATGTAAATTGGATTAAAATACATATTAAGGAGTTGTTTGGAATGATCTAAATAAGTGCACTTTTTGTCTTTTTATGAAAAGATGTGCAGAAAAATAAAGAGATGAT